AATAATTATGTCCGTTATTTTTCTATTTTATTTACTTTAAATTAATTAAAAAAAATTCTTATTTTATGTCACATTAAATTTTACTTTCTGTTTACGCCATGTTTCTCTGATTATATATTTTTTTCGATTAAGCCAATACGACTCTAATACAATTGTGTGATAACTACTTTATATAGATAGCAAATAGATTATACAAGCTAATAAATGCGATGCTAATTGCACATAAATTATATTTGAGAAAAGAGTAATTGTAAATTTGAGGTGCTCATTACAAATCTTTCATCGTTAGAGTGCTACGCGTTATCTGTTTTTATTGCATAATTGGCAAATCAAGAAACTGAACACCTTGAGCACTGCAGTATGTAGATGCATTCGGGACTGTGTATGCCAACGCTTAAATGCATTTTCTTTCTTTTAAAAAAGACAATCTGATACAGATAATCTTTTCTAAAATTCTCAGTGTTTGTCCAAACAGCAAAATACGTATAATTTCGATGTATTATATTGCAAATACTTATTCATTTTCAGTTATTATTCAGTTCTTCAGTTATTATTCAAGTTTCAAAAGAATTTTAACGTTGACTTTTCGTTTCACAGTCTTACGATTTCAATGAAAGATCGCAGACGAATTAAATTTAACATACTCTAATTGTTTTCAAAAATCTATTGATATTGTGAAATATATGTGAAATATATGTATATGACAAATCCTTCCTATCAATTCTATTGCTTTTCTCCGTTGACAAATGGCTTTGCAAATTTTGTTTTCAATCATATAGTCTGCTGTAGAGTTAAAAAATATAATTTTTTATTCAATAATCTCAATTTCGAATTTTTTTATTTTTATTTTTATATACTTTAGTTTTTATAGTTTAATAGTTTAATAAAAATGCTTTAATGAAGATTCTATCTACTAGTTTATTCATTCAATTATTTTTTCGTTATATGAGCTATATGCATCATTTATATAATAGTTATATTTAAAATAAATATCTTATTTAAGTGCATTTTAATAAGTATACATACTTTAAAAAAGAATGGATCTTGCAGCTCATTCCATATGCTTTGTTGACACACGGTGCACGTTGCACATTAAAATGAACTGTGATGCGATTTAGCGTTTAATTGTAAGCTAACAATAAGACAAAAGAAGATATTTTTTATTATACGTAGAGATATTTGATTTTTTTGATCAAATAGATAATAAAAAATATAAAACAGATTTTTTTGAAACATAAAAGATGCAGACATAATAGATGTATCTTTAAAGCAAAAAATATATAAATTTTTATTTGTAAATTACGATATTTTTTCTCTTTAGAAAAATGTGCTAAAAATCATACATACAAACAATAGTATTTATGTTAAAAAGATTAACTTTTCATTTTTACAGAAAAATGTATAAAATTATAATATATTGTGTAATTAATCACTGTCAATAGTTAATAATTTTAATTTTAAATAATTTAATTGTATACATGTATTATTGAATATATCAGAAGTGTCATTGAATATATCACTTGACATTTACATTATTATAAATCTTTATCCATGCTTTTGCATAACAGATATATCTTTCAGTTATGATGATTCTGATTATGTGAGCACTAAACTCTCTAATCGCTTAATTCAAAAAAAACGAATGATCAAAATATTACATGCAAATAATGTTGAAACGAAAGAAGTTTGCCTTGTTTCATTGAGTTCAACTTGAACTCTTGATTTTGAAACGACCATGGTTCATTGTTTTTATTTCCAAGGAAAAAAAATTTCCAAGAAACACAACACACACACACACACACACACACACACACACACACACACACATACTATATATATATATATATATATATATATATATATATATATATATATATATATATATATATATATATATATATATATATATATATATATATATAATATATATATATATATAATAATATAATAATAACTAACTATATATATATATATATATATATTTATTATTATTACTTATTAATAAGTATATATACTTACTTATTCTTACTTACTACACAACTACTTTACTTTACTTACTACTACACACACACACACACACACACACACACACACACACACACACACACACACACACACACACACACACACACTTCCATGTTAGAATTTTTCCATAAGGTACAAAATTGTATAATCAAAGCAATATTATGTATTAATTGGTATTAATTATATCACTCGATATAACACTTAATTTTTTTTCTATAATTACCTTCTATAAATACCTTTTTATTAACATTAACAGAAACAGAACGTAACAAGACGACCTTGCTTCCGATTGTCGGATGACGCGACCAAGGTTTCAGATTCGCTGCATCCGAGTCTTCTTTGTAAGTTCGATCTCACGATGGATCATTGAATACTGTGTTCTCGAACGATACAACACGTATCTGCTGCAAAACACCAAGTTCCACAGCTCGGGTGTGAGCCATCAGAGCAGCTTTGCATTTTGTCTCATTATTGGTTTCGCATCTTCGAGTACAATGTGGAAGTGGTGGTTTTATTGCATTTTGCTGCATGTATCCTTATCGACGTCGAGAAGGACTGCCCTTGATACTCCCTTTAACATATTGTTTCTTCGTGCCTTTCGAGATTGGACTTTCGATGTTTTCGGTATGTATTTAATCAGTGATATACAAAGTAATAGCTTGCATTTTTCTTTGCGGCGATTAGTAATGCACGATATTTTTATCTTGTCACGATGATAAGATCTGCGCTTTTCATTTCTTCTTTCGAAATAAAATTAAAAATGCAAGTATGAATCACGTCTTACTTGGTAAGACAAGAATGCAAGAATTTAATAACAATGAACATTTTCTAAATTTTTTTTTTATTACTAAGAAGTTTTATAGACAGTGTATGCAAAATATATATAAAAGATCTTCAATTTATTTAAATTTTAGAAAGCAAAAGATCTTTCATCAAAACAAATTTATATATATATATACGGATATATTTCAATAGTTTATATTTTAATTTTCTTACACATATTTGTACATATATATCTATACATATGTGTATATTTAAAACTTCTTTTAAATAACTTTGATAATTAATTAAAAAATATTTTCTACAGCTAAAATGATTTTCTCTAAAAATACATATCAAATTTGTCTTACAATTCGTATACGAAATGGATAATATAATATTTTATGTGTAACTTAGATCGGTCATTCGCGCTGTGCATTCCGTGTAGATGAATTCTGGAACATCTGCAATATCACTAGAAAGCACATAGCATCTCATGCGGATATACATTGCACTAATATATTTTTATCTGTATACGCGAGTGCCTAAATTTATAGTTAGTATGAAATATTTTTTAACACATAAATTATTTTCAAAAGAATTATTTTTGTTGTAACTTTTCAATAAAATTACTATAGTGTATACCGACTCAGAAATTATTACTAAACATTAATATAATCAACTTCATATTAAGAGATAAAAATTGGAGTATAAAATAAACTAAAGGAGTATAAAATAAAATAAACTAAAAATATGCTTTGATTTGCATAGTGAATACTCGTGCAAGTTCGTGTCAATAAAGCCTTGAAAAACTTTCGAATAGATACTAATTGATATCTAATTGATATTATTTGGCACTTGTTCTGGTTTCTAAAAATATTGTGACAAAGCAAAATAAGCATAATAGGCATAATAAATAAAATAAACATAAGAGGAAAATGTATATACTAGATTCTCTCTCTTTCTCTCTCTCTCTC